CCTAGCTATCGTTGAGCGATTACTTGAAGTGAACGCGGACGTTAACGCACAAGCGAGTGCATGGCATGGGATAACAGCACTTCAGGGAGCCGCGGAACAGGGCCATATTTCTATCGTCGAGCGGCTTATTCAGGCAAACGCAGACGTCAATGCACCGGCAGCAGCAGAAGGCAAAACAGCACTCCAAGCAGCCGCTGAACAGGGCCATATTGCTATTGTAGAGCTCCTCTTCCAACACAAGGCGGAAGTCGATTCATCAGTATCTCAGCATAAAGACACGACAGGCCTCGTAGCAGCTGCCGCAACTGGACATGTTCCTATTGTGGAATGGCTGCTTCGGCAGAAAGGAGAATTCAGGAAAAGATACTATTTTCGTGTTGGTGAATCAGCGCTTGCGGCTGCCGCTGCCGCTGGCCATCTACCAATTGTTGAAATGTTGCTCGATGCAAAAGCAGACGCAAACCTGCCGCCAGCATTCTACTCCCAAGAAGAGAGAGAACTCCTCGGTGCGGCACTCGAAAAGGCTGCTTCGGCTGGTCATCTTCCTATTGTTGAGCGACTGCTAAAAGTTAGTGTACTGTCCGACTTTTTACGAGGAATCTCTCTAGCATTGCCCCACGCCGCTGCTACAGGTCATATTCGTATCGTAGAGCGTTTACTGGATGCTGGAGCAGTCGTAGATGAAAAAGGACGGTGGCCGGAGGACAAAACGGCACTTACAGCTGCAGCCGGTTCTGGACACCTGGTTGTTGTAGAGTGGCTACTACAGGCTGGAGCAGATATAAGCATCAAACATCGATTCAGGCCGGATGAGCTGCATGATGTAAAGGGCAAAACCAGTGTCTCTTCTGGTTGGGCATCCTTGGATGGATGGGGAGCGGAAGATCTTACAGCAGAGCAGTTTGCGCGGAGGAGGGGCCATCATGCCGTCGCCGAGAGGCTCAAGAGACAGCGGCTACGCCAAAAAGCGACAATCAAACCTCTAGAAGCCGCATATGATTCAATGCCAACACAGGAGACGACAGTTGGATCTAATTGAAATGCGGCATTTTGAAGGGCATGGTCTGTTCATTGGCCATCTCAATCGGAGTTGGACCTTTCCCATTTCTACTACAGGGCATAGTATTGGACGCTCCATGTTGCAAGGCAAGTGTTATTGGACCTGAATGAATGTATGTAATCAAAATAAGACTTTTCGTGCTGCCTAGTCTTACACAAGCTGCAATGTGGGCCTCTTGGCTTGACGGCTCAAAAGACGGCCGAGGCCGCGACCTTGATGTGTTTCTTGTTTTGACTGGCTATCCCTTCCCAGGCAGATGCACGTTGTGCAAGTATCAACTCGGCGCCATTAGGTACTTGGTGACTCGCTTTCAACTTTCTTTGAATGGGAAATTAAATATATCGAAGCTGTACTCCCCGTGATAGTGTCTATATACAACGAAATTTAAGAAGTGGCCAATGTAATGCATAATTTAAGCTGGAAAATTCTTCGAGGTCAATTACCTTACTGTGTTTTGATTCACGTCCTAGCAGTTTCTAGAATGTTTCCTGTCGATCCGCTCCGAAAGTAGTGTTCGGTCTCTAACTCTTCTTTATATTGCTCTAAATAGACCGGAGGTGGTACCTAATGGTTTCAAGCAAGGCATCACTCACGCTGCTGTAACACCTCTTTGCGAAGCCACCCGGAAGAGAATAGGCTTCACGAATAGATGATGGGGGTATTGATTGGATGTCTGTTCTTGACCCCACATAATAACCCTACATGGGGTTGATTCACACGCAGGCTAGACCTAGACTAACCCTTGCGCCCCAGAGTCGGTTCCCCATCACCAACTGTATCGACTGCTATTGGCATCGCTTATATGCTGCGATAGTCTGCATAAGCTCTTCTTTTATAAAGAAAAAGTAAAGGAGAAGAGTATACCATATAATATCCATTATAAAGATGGAAGCAAAATGGGAATGATTAAAAGTCTAGCATTTCTTCAACTAAAACTGGGGAGCCATGCGTGTGGGTAGTACACCTAAGAAATGCATTGCTTTCGAGTTCAACACAACACCGCTACTACTCGAGAAGTAGGTGCTGCCGCACTCTTTCTAAACAGGTCCTGTTCTCCGTGCTACATACATTATTTACCTATTCATGCCATGCTACCATGGTTTGGTTGAACCTGCCCTAATACTTGAGATCGGTGTCTGATCCCCAGCTTTCCCTATTCGGGGTCAGATGATCTGCAGCATTACTCTGTACAACCAATCTCCATCTCAACGGCCCGACAGCCGGGTAACGCCATACTATCCATGTATTTGACGACAACAAATTTCCATCTTCTTCCTCTCAGAACCTGGAAATATTGATTCTTTTTCTGTGGCATGGAGCTTTGCCAAGATTGAAGGACTTGGCTAGACTCTTTCTGGCCACTTCGGTCAGGTCTACCCTTCTATACTTTGCGACAAGTCGACTGTAGTACCTGGGGCAGTCCCCCCACAAATTGGGGTATCTCCACACGAAGCGCTTCGTCTATAGTCGTTCCAGACCAGGTGATCATAGGGGTGATATTGTAGCATTGAGCTTGGCAAAGCCCGTGTCTAAGGAACGACTTTCAATGATGATATTTATACCGTCCTTACTCGCCCATCTTTTCTCAATATGCGTTTATCTAGGTCTGTCGAGCATTTGCCCAATATCCATCGAGCACGATCCCGACGCAATCATGAAGTCACACTCCTCCTTGTGGCAGCAACTCCTACGAGCGGGGATATATGTACTATTTGTGGCTAACGTCAATTCATCCGATGTGACAATCAGCGTGCCTACCGTCAACAGTGACGCACAAGTTATCGATGCGGACTTTTGTGGCTTCGCTTTTGAGCAGGCATCATTCGAGGAATACGCCGTGGACGTCGACGGCAATGCTAATCAGTTCTCAGTGAATCTCATCAACGCCATTACCTCTCGGACGGGCGGTAAACCCATCATTCGTCTTGGCGGCACCTCTGCAGACTATGGAAGATTTGATCCCCGCCAGTCCGCGCCGGCACTTCCCAAGGCCGAGCAGGATAACTACCAGAACGTAGGCGGCACAACCATTGGCCCTTCGTATTGGGAATTGACAAGCGGCTTTTCCGATGCGCAGTACATTATTCAAGTTCCTTTGGCTACCACAAATGTCAGCGAGACCATCGCCTGGACGCAAAGCGCCGTCGATGCCATAGGATGGGACAAAATCCAAGCCATCGAGATCGGCAACGAGCCAGATCTCTACAGCGATACCATGACTGGAGCCAATGGTATCGCGCTGCAACCGCCCGCGTATCAGGGGACGCTGAACAACGAAACTTATGTGGGCAACTACACCAAGTTTGCCGCCGCCATTGCCGACGCGGTTGCCCTGCCAGACGGCCGCGTCCTCCAGGCCTTTGACGTCTCGACTCACTTTGGTGCTGCCGTTGCAAAGGAGGCATACATTCTCGACGTGGAGACTTGCTTTGGCCTCGGCATTGACGCTGACAATCGCATCAAGACTGTTGCTCACCACTACTACCAGAACAATGCGGGCGACGCCTCGACACTCGCCACCGGGCTAATGAACATGACAGCCACGCACGCGCACCTGGATCAATTCCAGCGCCGGATCTACTGGCTTCGGACCAACGAGCCCGACATTGCGTTTGTGCTCTCCGAGGTGGGCAACTCGCTCGATGCCACCAACAGCTACGGATATCAAGCACGTCTAGGCTCGGCTCTCTGGCAGGCTGACTTTTATTTGTACGCCATGAGCATTGGTGTCGCACGCATCAATTACCAACAAATCATGCATGCCGGTTACGACATGTGGCTCCCCGTCGCGAGTGCCGGGCTAGAGGCGCAAGTATTCGCCAACTTCTACAGTCAGCCGTTTGTCGCCGACTTCATCGGCGCATCGGGTTCGACGACGGTACAGCAGTTGGAGATTGATCACGGGGAGGAGAAGCCGAATCTGGCTGCTTACGGCGCCTTTGAACAAGGATCGCTCAAGAGAGTTGCCATTTTGAATCTGCAATACTGGAACGAGACGACTTCTGGCACGCAGAGGCCAGTCACGAGTATCGACTTGAGCGTGCCCGAAGGCACAACGAAAGCGATCGTCCAAAGGCTCGGAAGCTCTGCTGGTGCCGGAGCCGGGGCAGATACCATCACGTATGCTGGCAGTCAGTGGACATATGAGAGTCTCGGTTTGGAGGTACAAGACGTCCGAAACGATACGTCGACTATTGAAGTGGTCGAAGGTGTGGTGACGATTAGTGTATATGACAGTGAGGCTTTGTTGGTATCGTTGACGTGAGAGCAGCGAGAAAAGGGATGACCCAAAAATTATGACGGGCATGATCTAAGGAGTGCTGGGCTGGATAGCTGCCTCGGATGCTGAAATAGGGATGGGGTTCTTGCTGCGCTAGATCAAGATTATCTAAGAGGGTGTTAATCAATTCCGTGGTGAATTGCTGATCTGCGATGTTGTGGCGCCCTAAGCGTTCCGTCATGTTTGTTGTTGTTGAGAATGCTGGTGTTATCCAGTATGGCATAGGGCCTAATGTAAGTGCAGGTACGGAGGCTGTTGAGGTTTCGTAGAGCGGTTGCAAGCGTTGGCACTCTGTGACATACAGTGGAAGAGAAACCAAACATGGACAGAATATAAGGATTGTTGTTGTTGATACAGCCCAGAACAGTTGCAGAGCTTTCTACGACGTGCGCAAGACCTTCGCATCTTGGGGCGCTTACTCGACATGACCAGGCCTTGTTGCACCCCAGGCCTTGTTGCACCTGAAGGGCGCGTACGTCTATATTGTAGTACGGTTATAGGTAGCTCACTACAGGTGCCTAAACTCTGGGAGCCCTAGGCCTCCAAGGAGGGGTTGGGGGGCACATCCAGGTTCGAGGTTCAAACCCCCGGATTGTCAAGACATTGCGGTTGAAACACGTTTTTACACATGAACCAAGACGAAATGGACATTCAAAAAATAATAATAAAATAATAAAGATGTAAGCACATTTTTAGAAATTAGCAAAAGCTCATCGAGCCCGTCGAGGCCTATGGGGCGTCCCCCATAGGCCTCGATCAGGCTCGAAGCCGAAAATCCTCCTTCCCAGGATTTTACGAATTGCTCCATCTGAACCATTCTACCAGACCGTAAGGTAAGGTAGAGGGGAGGGGGTGGCAGGCTCCCGTGGCTCAGATGCCGTTGGAAATTTGTCTTCTATTTGGAACCATAAGGACTCCCTTTGTTTTTGCGTTTGCATTTGCCTGGCCAATGGGCGTATTGCCTGTACAAAGAGGGACCAAAGACCCGGGGCTTTTTCGGCCACTCTTGCGTTCTTGGTCGTCAAGGTGTTTTTTGGCGTTTGTAGAAGTTTGATCATATGAGCAAACGTGACTAGTGGATGGGACTGTGAGTTGACCATATGCCAGGCTATCTGGAACATATCTGTCCATGACAGAAACACCCGGCAGTTTCGTCTGGTAGGAGGCATTTGATAGTTTCAATAATGCTAGCCTTGTAATTGATTCTGATCGATGTCCGTGGAGAACATAAAGTATCACTAGACACGGGCCAAGCAAGTATTACCGATGGCTATTTGAGTTATTGTTACCATATTTTCCATGACCGGGTCGAGGGGACAGTTATTTCGAAATCCTTTCACAAAGATACGAGTCACTCCATCTTGGTGGGGGAAGAGAAATTTGGCCGGGTTGTGGCATTTATGATTAATTGGCTTGTTAGTCGTTCAAGATATGATCAACTAATCTAGATACTTAGCGCCATTTAGCCATCTAAACCACCCCATTCGCTGTTACCACCATCACTATCATCTCCCCGGTTCTCGATCTTGCGTTTCTTGCTTCCAGCAATTGCCCCCTTTCGGTTGTTTTCTCTGCGTTTCTCCCAGGCGCTCTTGGTGGTGATTTCGGCCTTGTTGCCTCTACGAGACTCTACACCCTTCTTTTTCAGTTTCTTCTTATCCTCCTTTTGCACCTTGGGGAGGGCGTCCATCAGCCATTTGGGTATGCCATCCTCCTTTCCAGCTTGTTTCTCACTCAATGAGATGACATTGGCAATATTCTTGAGGAATGGAATGTCTTCCTTGGTGTAAAAGGTGACGGCCACGCCACCCTCGTGGCCGGCACGACCGGTTCGGCCAACTCGGTGAACATATGCAGCGGCCGAAGTCGGCAAGTCAAAGTTGATGACTCCATTAACGCCACGAAAGTCGATTCCTCGCATCAACAAATCCGTTGTGATGAGCACCCAAATCTCGTTAGCCCGGAACCTAGCAATGATCTTGGATCTTGCGGACTCGGACATGTTGGAATGCAACGCGGCAATTCGTGTGGAGCCGCCAGCCTCGGCAGGGAATTCAAACTTGAGTTCCTCATACAAAGATGAAGCTCGCTCAACCGTCTGCACAAATACAAGAAAGGGGAGCCCCATTTCCGGAATAGTTGTCGACGAGTTGCTGGAGTTGGGGTGTAGCAATTGACGAAGGGTGTAGAGTTTGCCTCGCTCGTTATCACCGGTGTAAATGAGATGATGGTTCACACTAGGCACTGCCGTATCCTTCAAACCGACCACCAGGCGCACGAGCGGTACTACAGATGCCGACTCTGTTTGACCAAACTTTTCAAGTAACAGCGCCTCGATATTTGAGCCCATTGTAGCTGACCAACATGAGAACCGCAAAGACTCGTTCGTGCAGCAGCTAACGATACCCATCGTCTGGTCCCTGAACAGCTCGTCTAGAAGAACATCACCTTCGTCCAGAATAATAGACCGCACGTGAGGTAGTGTTTTCCTCGCCGATCCCTTCTTGGTCAAAAAGTTCAGCAGCAACATTGGAGTTGTTACTATTATGTCTGCCTTTGTGATTGGGCCATCTGATTTCGGAGTTTCACTTGCGTCGCTTTCCTCGTCGTCCTCGGATGCTGCAGAATCGTCCCCATCTTCGTTGCTGTCCTCGTCTAGATTCTCAACACCGTCCTCCGTGGGCAGGCGCATGCCCTTCTTGAAGCCCACAATCTTGACGCCTGTTCCAGCCGCCAGCTTTTGGCCTTCACGGACAATCTGGTGTGCCAATTCTCGAGTTGGCGCTATGACCAAGGCCTCCAATACATGACCCTCTGGCTTTCCGGATCCCGCTCGTCTCTTGAGGATGGCATTGACGGTCGGAATCAGGAAGGAAAGTGTTTTACCACTGCCAGTAGGTGCAACTGCCAGAAAATTGATTGCTTCATCATCGCCGAGCTTTACGCTATCGCTCTCAGAGTTCTTCAAGGCGGTCTTGGGATCAATCAGCAATGGTAGACTACCAAGCTGAACCTCAGTTGGCAACCTGAAGCCCTGTTTGGCCAGGTTCTCGACTAGTCTTGGGGATATCTTGTAGGCGTTTCGAAGATCGGTAAACGAGGTCAACGGTTGGGGGTATAGCGACAATTTGGCGTCCTTGCTCTTTGGCTTTGGTTGTTCCTTCTTCTTGGACTTTTTGACCTTGAGTTTTGCCTCTTCGTGCTTTGAGAGCAGGGTGAATTTTAGCCTATGCGACCGTAAAACTTGGCGCACTTCATCCTGGTCGAGAAGCTGGACCTCTTCCGTCTTTGGCTGCGGCTTGGTTGCCTTTGGCTGCTCTGTCTCCTTGGCTCTGGTTTCGACAGGATCGGGTGCGGCAAAGAAGTCGAACTCGTGCGCATCGTCCGTCGTTGCGACATCTAGTGCCTCTTCATTGCGCTTTCTCTTCAAACCGCGAGTAGGATCGTGGTATAGTTGAGGGTTCGCGGGTTTCGAGCTCGGCGGGGGAGCGCTGACCGAGTTGGTGGTCTTTTTTGTTCCACGCGACAAGATCTTGAGCAAATCCATGGCGGCGCAGTCGGTACAAAGGGTAAACACACGACGTGAATGCTACAGAGTGGCTTCCATTGCGCTTGAGAATTGGATTCAGAAAATTATTGACGGAAGGCAGGCGGTGAAAAGTTTCTGCCAGAGATCTTGGAAAAGTTAAAGTGGAACCCCCAGGTAACCCCACATTAGATCTTTCTTAGGTCCCAGTGCAGTACGGAGTTGGGTTGTGTATGGCTTGCACATGTGGTTATTGGCGTGCGGGCACTAAAATGGACCGACTACAGTACCTTTATGTCGGGTGTACAACCATACAGCCCAGCAGTCACACCAAAACAACTCGGGAAAAAGCTTGAACGACGGGCAGGACGTGAAAAACAGGCAATCACATGATTGCGGTCCCAGCACGGAGTACGATATACGATGTCTCGATCTATATCCCGGTTGCCGGTCATCTTTTGGGTCAGCATAGACCCTTGGAACTACGGAATCCCCAGACAGTTTTACTTGCCTCGGAGTTCGGCTTCGGCCTGCAACATTGATTCGCCAGCCACGATGAGTCTGTCTACGGCCTTGCTCAATCCATCTTGATCTTATCAAGCCCCTATTCGGCTTGTCTTGCCTTGCACTTATTAGTCCCGATAACCAAGCACACCAAAGTGTCGCGTGTATGATGGCTGCCTACGGAGTTGTGCATCTTTATAGTGAGCTCCGATTGCTGTGCCGTTGCATCGCAGTCGACATGGCCTTGCCTTTTTGGCTCGCCGGTAACTCGATTGAAAAGGAAAAACAATGCAGATTGACTAGCGATCTGCATTCATGACTGCAATACTTGAGTCCTATGCATGATTCATCTCATCATTGCTTGCAGGCACCAACTATACCACGTCTCTCACAGGCAGATTGATTACGACTACGATCTGCTCAAGTCTGACGAGTGTGCACAAGAGTCTTGAGTAGGGCATCATTTAATCTCAAGGGCACCCAGCGCCCTTGAACAAAAAGTTCAATTGCTCATCGTCCAAGTTAACTTCTTTGCCGTGCCTAGGTTTCAGCAATGGCATCCCCACTATGCTCAGACAACAGCGACAGAGTGTTTGGCCCAAGAATCAATACATCTTGTCGCGCCCTTGATTTTACTCTGCTGTTTGAAGATATCTTCTTCGCCTGTCTTCCCGCTGCCGTCTTCCTATCGCTCTTACCAACACATATTGCGGTTTTGAGACGTTCGCCAGTCGTTTGCTCAGTGCGGACCAAGTTACTCGTAGCAAAGCTGGTAGGTCCATATCCATGTTAACGTAATTCTGTAACTCACACACGATAGACAACTCTGGTTTGCATTTTTACAACGCAGGTTTCATTTCTTGCTTTGAGAACTCAGAATAATGTGGTCCAAACAAGAGCATCAGTAGCTGCTGATGTTTTATCGATAATCGCAACTGCTGGTGTAGCATGGCTTTCTTACATCGATCATCAACGCTCACTTCGGCCTTCGACCCTCCTTAGCTTGTACCTATCCGTCGTAATTATCCTCAATATTGCGCGCGTTCGGACATTGTGGCTCGTGGGAATCATTCCTGCAGAGGCAGCCAATTTGACTCTAACGTTTGCTTTGACCATGGCAACTTTCTTGTTGGAGTCGACGGAGAAGAAGTCGACCATCATCACGGAGGAAAGACGATATGGCGCGCCCGAGGAGTACAGCGGATTTTGGACGCGGACCGCTTTTGCTTGGCTCGCAGCCACGTTCCGGGCTGGGTATTCCAAGGTCATTGTCCAGGAAGACTTGCCAAAAATCGACACTCGGCTCCAGGGTCATATTTTACATGAGAAACTGGTTTCTACTTATGCAAAATGCAAGTATAATTTGTCTCCGAAAAGATATCATTATTGACCACTTCCAGATGATCACTACAAAAGGCATAGTCTTTTGAAAGCATGTTTCCGCGAAAACCTGACATCCTTTCTGTCTGGCATACCGCCTCGGCTATGCAAGTCTGTGTTCTTTTTCGCACAACCTATGTTGATCAATGTCACTGTCTCTTACGTTGGAGAGGCCTCACCAGATCCTAGCTACGGTCATGCCTTGATAGGAGCATGGGCCCTAGTGTTCCTCGGCATCGCGGTATGAGCTGATCAGAGCAGAATACAGATGACACTTTATACTGACTTTTTATACAGTGCACCACAGGATTGTCCTCTTATCAGACGACTCGCTTCATCACAAGGGTTAAAGGAGGTCTTATTGGACTAATCTACCAGGAGACAATGAAAGCAAGGACGGTTGACCTTGGTCCCAACACTGCTGTTGCCTTGATGGGGACTGATGTTGAGCGCATTGGCCAGAACCTCCAATCCATCCACGAAATGTGGGCTTCCATCATTGAGGTCGGGGTAGCGACTTGGCTTTTGGAGCAGCAAATCTTCTTGGCCTGCCTCGCACCCGTTGCGGTCATCATCAGTATGGCTTTTCTATCCTTATTTTCCCCAGTTTTATTCTAACTTATATCTGTAGTCATTGTAGCCATCACCGGGCCATTGTCAACCGCTGCCAAAACAGCACAGAGAAACTGGATTGAGAAGGTGCAAGAGCGCCTTCGCATAACCTCTGCGATGCTGGACGATATGAAAGCAGTCAAGATGCTGGGACTCTCAAGTGTCATGACTGACATTGTTCAAGGTCTGCGAAAAAGTGAGATTGAGAAATCGGAAGTCTATCGCAAACTTATGAGCTGGAATGTTGGTTTATGTGAGATATACACACGAAGTTTCTATCAAGCTTTGAAGCACCATCTAATTTCGTGGCACAGCAAATTGTGTGGCAAACTTGGCCCCTTTGGTTACGTTTGCTGTCTACGTGATCATATCACTGTACTGGAAGAGCGGATCACTGTTCACTGCGCAAGCCTTTACATCTATCGCTCTCATCAACTTGCTCACCACGCCAGTACTCATGTTGATCCAGCTTATGCCCTCGCTTTTACAATGTATTAGCTTCTTTGATCGCATACAGGAATACTGCAATTACGCAGATGATTCAAGCGTGGACACAAGTTCAAGCCAGCTGACCAAAAGGACTGGATCCGCCATCAGCCTTCAATTCCTCACTGGCACAACAACCAATAAGCCCGTCGATTCAACTAAGCATGCCATAGAACTGCAGAACAATAACTTTTCCTGGGAAAAGTCCAAATCATACTTTTTGAAGGACATCAATCTCAAAGTGCTACCAGGCACGATCACCGTTTGTGTCGGCGTGGTTGGCAGCGGCAAGACCATGTTGCTAGAGAGCATCCTAGGTGAAACAATATCGAGCCTTGGAAGGACATCCAATCGCAGTGCTACTTCCATTGCCTACTGCGCGCAACAGCCATGGCTAGAGAATACAAGCATTCGCAACAACATTATTGGTGTGTCGCACTTTGACGCAGCATGGTACAAGACTGTGCAATCGGCCTGTGCTCTAGACTCGGACCTACAGAGCTTGGAGAAGGGAGACAAGACTGTTGTCGGAAGCAAGGGACTCAATCTCAGTGGTGGACAAAAGCAGAGAATTGTAAGTCAAGCCAATACAGACGCACTTTTGACAGCTGCTAAGCAACATGTGACAGGCTCTTGCGCGTGCCGTATACTCGCGAAAAGAAATCATCATTCTCGACGACGTCTTTAGTGGCATGGACGCTCATACCGTTGATCATGTCTCGCGCCGTCTCCTGGGCCCGTCTGGTCTATTCCGCAGCCGTGGTATCACCGTCATTCTCGCCACGCACAGCCGTTGGTCTTCCCCGACATCTCAATACCATGCTCGTACTGACTGGCACCAGATAAGCTAATGAGTCTCGCGGATACCATTGTCGCCCTCGAGGACGGTAGAATCGTCGAGATGGGCAGCCCCCAGGCGCTCCAGTCCCAGAAAGGATACGTTGCCAGCCTGAGCCTCGACGTTCCAGCCCAGGAGTCGACGAGTGTCAAAGAATCTCACGATTCACAGATCAGCCGGGTCAGTAGCACTGTTGCCGAGTCCTTCATCTCAGCCGCCGACGCCATCGAGGTCGAAAACAAGGATTCTCTCGATGCCCGACGCAAGAATGGGGATTGGTCCGTGTACAGCTACTATTTCAGCAGTTCTGGATACTTCATCATTGTTTGCCTCCTCACCAGCATGGCCGCGTGGGTCTTTTGTACTGAATTTGGAAGTAAGGCATTCCCTCACCAGTCTCGAGATTTTCTTTCCTTCATTCAGTCAACAAGGTCACTAACGTGTCTCCTTAGCGGTTTGGCTTGACTGGTGGTCGGGCGCAAACGAGGGAGAACCCAACAAGAATGTCGGCATGTACATGGGAGTCTACACGGCCCTCTGTCTGTTGGGCGTCGCAATGATTGGCGTCGCCTGCAAGTGAGTCTTGTTCTCCCTTCCCTGGCTTACTGTCAATCATTTCCGCTGACCCATTTTGACCAGGTTTGCCTTTGTCGATATCATCTCCATGTCTGCCTTCCGTCTGCATTCCAATCTACTCACCACTACTATGAGGTATGTCTTGTTCAATATGTGACCGTTCGGGGTTTACTGACCATGAGACAGGGCACCCTTGCGATTCTTTACCACAACGGATACGGGCACGTTGACAAATAGGTAAATTTGAACTCTACATATGTCGTTTCCGTCACGCTAACGATTTATTTCTTTTTATAGGTTCAGCCAGGACATGGAACTAATTGATATGAATCTACCCATAATAATGGTCAATTATATTTCAAGTAAGATCTTTTCTATTACTTCTCCCGTTCGAGAAACAAGTCCTGACCTTCATCATAGCGGCTTTTGCTTCCACGGCCAAGGCCATCATCTTGGTTGTCTTCTCTCGGTACCTAGCAGCAACGGTGCCCTTTGTCCTGGTCGCATTGTACTGCTTGCAGTCATTCTATCTGCAAACCTCGCGACAGGTCCGTCTCCTCGAGATCGAGGCCAAGGCCCCGTTGTACACGCACTTTATCGAGTCCGTCGCGGGCGCGGCCACCATCCGCGCCTTTGGCTGGCAGTCGATCTACCAGGAGCGCAACTACAAGCTAATTGACCAGTCGCAGCGGCCAGCCTATCTACAGTTTTGTATTCAGCACTGGCTGAGCTTTGTTCTGGATATGCTGGTGACTGCGCTGGCCGTCATCCTAGTTGCTATCATCGTGACCTGGAAAGACAAGTTCACGGCAGGTAACGTCGGTGTGTCGCTCGTCATGGTCATGACGTTCAGCACCGTGCTTATGCGGCTCATCAAAATGTGGACCATGATGGAGTCCAGTATTGGAGCCGTGGCCCGTGTCAAGCGGTTCGCTGAAGAGACCGAGTCGGAAGAGAGGGACGGCCCAGTGGCTGACGTGGCTTCTGATTGGCCGAGACAAGGTGCCATCGAGTTCCGGAGCCTGGTAGCTGCCCATGGACCTGATTCGGAACCCGTGATCAAGGGACTTTCCATGGCTGTCAAGCAAGCAGAGCATATTGCCATCTGCGGACGTTCTGGCAGTGGTAAGACATCGCTCATTCTAGCGCTACTCCAGATGCTTGAGTCGCAAGAGGGACGTATACTGGTCGACGGTGTCGACGTGTCCACAGTCTCATTGACTGATGTACGCTCTCATCTGAATGTGGTACCACAAGACCCTTTCTTGTTGCCGGGGACCATTCGCTTCAACATTGATCCCTTTGGCAAGGTTTCCGATGAAGATATCACGCGGGCATTGGAGCGTGTGCATCTTTGGCCGATCGTGGCCGAGCAAGGCGGTCTGGGCGCCGAGTTGGACGTGGCCGCATGGTCGGCAGGACAAAAACAGCTATTGTGCCTGGCTCGGGCCATGGTCAGAAACAGCAAGGTGTTGATCCTCGACGAGGCTACCAGCAGGTATGTTGTCTCGAGACAAGCTTGCAATACCCTTCAAAGCTAACATTGCCCCAGTGTTGACAGCGAAACCGAGGCCATTATGCAAGATATTATCGACACGGTATTCAGAGATTGCACCGTTCTTGCCGTTATGCACCGCCTGACGCACATAGGCCGCTACGACAAGGTCGCTTTGCTCGACAGTGGTCACTTGATGGAGTTTGATTCCCCAGCTAGTCTTTTGAGTCAAGACTCGCATTTTGCCAGTCTTCACCGATCCAGTGCGACTCGACCGTGAGGATTCCATGGTGTTTAGTGCTTTTTCCCTTCTGAATCACGCGGTTTCGCTCAGACGGCGGCAGTGTCATGACCTGAAATGGTTTATAGTTCAATTGAGCTCAAGATGATTGTTTCCACTCCGCGTGTGCCGTTCCATAGTGCTTCAAGGTACCACAGGCGCGGCATTGAAATATAATGGAGCTCAACTAATGTGCAAAGTTGACATCAAGGAATCAGGAGTTTCATCCCCAATGGACAAGGTGTTGTGCGGGCCAAGGCCGGGTTGATCCAAAAGGATGTTCAGCAGACAAATCTCCAAACCACGGCGCGACTCTCTGTTCATCGAGGAGAGGACGTCGGCCATTTGTGCTGCATAATCCGCTATGCGAGCCGTCTCTGCATTTCTATGGGCAAAATTTTGAAAGAGCAGCCGATGAAGATCTGGTAGTGAATACTGCCACTCAAGATCGTGCACCAGGAGGAAATCGTTTAGACGGTATGGTGCCTCGTCGCCCGAGAGTGGAAGTAGAAGGTCTTTCCCCGTCATATTGCTCGCAGTAGGGTTTGTCGGCGCGGTGGTTTGCAAGAGGACACAGATGAAAAAGAGGCAGGAGAGACGGATGTGCTCGGAGCGTGCTTGGTCTAATGTCTGTTGGCTTGTACCCTCGTCCTGACCAGGCTCTAGCATTTGCATTTGAATGAGCAGTACAGCAGCCTGTATTCCACTTAGATTCGAAAGGCCATTGTTGAATTGCTCTCGGAATCTATCCATGAATGTACGGGTATCCTGAACAATAGAGAGGAGCCATAGACAGCGAATATTGTGAAGATTCGTTGCGCTGCCAAGGACAAGAGCCGAGTCTGTGTTCAACGATAGATTGTCGATTTCATTGTAGCTGTAGAACCATGAAGGTCTTGACATGAGCGATATTCTATCAACAAGTTAGACAGTTGGACTCAAAGGGTGCGGTGTCAAGTCGGGACGAATCAGGACGACACCTACAGATAAAACACTAGTTGCAGTCGCCAATTATGTCGCAACGTCTCTATGCCACCACGGGCGTCTATCATGCTATCTATGCCTTTACGATGCGTCAGCCATTCTGTTTCACTTCCCCATTGTCGCTATCTCATTTATTGTCAGCGCAATTCTTCGATTAGCCCTTGAATGGATGGTAAAGGTCTGGTGGTTTTACCTCGTATGTCATCATCCTTAACACTGCAGCAATAACTTCGTCGCTTGGGGCACCACTCGACTCAGTCAACCATTCCCCAATGATCCGGAGGGCCTCGTTTTTAAAGTGGAGAGATTCGGGTGAATATCTTTTGCCCTGCATCATGCTCAGGTGGGCAGCCGAATTGGCCATCAGGGCATTGAACGCAGCGGCATTCGAGAGGTCTAATGGCAGCCAGACGTCTAATAAAGGATTAAAAGACTTGGTTGGGTTGCCATCAAAGACCATGGCCGCATGGATGCATAAGACTTGGAGGAGGAAGAATTAGTAATCATTTCTGTCGACTCTAGATCATATATGTGCCAATATATAGCGCAAAAAGCAAGAAAAAAAAACACCTACTTACAGTGATGTATAAGCTTGTGGTGCTCTGGGGAAAGTTTTATTGGAAAGGCGTCAAAGGGGTCAAGGTGACCACATGAAAGCACTTGGCTCATTCCGCGCAGTGCCTGTTCAGGAATACCCGGAAGTACCGGCTGGGGCCGTGTCGCGGTGGGTGGTTGAGGTGCCGGTGGGGTGACATTATTGCTGCCGCTGCCGCTGGGCTGGGATCTATGTGATGACGAGGTGGTGGAGTTTGTGGATTCCTGAGTCGCAAGTTTGGGAAATATTAGACGTCGGACCTTGGACGAGGTTGATTCCCCGTTGGTTGATGCTTCCTCCCTGTTGCGTTTATCCCGTCTTCTCTGCTTCCAATGCTCCTTCATGGCATGGCTGCGAGCCTGTTTCGATAGTCTCTGTGGCACAAACATAAAGCTCGTGTCCGAGGTATTCCCAGGGGCATTGCCATCCCGGTCCGCTGCGGCTTGATCGGACATGATTGACGTCTGGTTTACGCGCCTTGATTCCAATCCCGATCTATGTCCCCCGTGTATATCGTACAATTGGATCTTGTCTCGTATCTTCTCCGAACTTACCACCCAGTTGGTAGGGCTTCACACCCTACACGGGATTTGGTATCTGCTTTGAGAAATTGCTGCTCGGGGTCACAGGTGAATACACCATAACATTCCAGAATGCTCTCGAGGAGGATAAGATGAGGTCAAGTAAAGCATGACACTAGGCCGCCTTTGGTGATACTATTCGGCAAATCATGGTTCTTCCATGCAGTGCATGGAGCAGCACTAGACAGGGGCGTCAAGAGTCTGGGCTAGGTTTGGTAAGAGTAGCCAGGATATTTATCCGCAAAACGGCGGGCCCTGGCCAGGATCAAGCACATGGCTGATGGCTGCAGAAGACTCCGAAAGTCGTCAATGGTTGATCAGCCCCGCTATGAAAGCTTGTTTCTTGGGTGTATGTCGGAGCAAGTCAGAGAATTATGCTCGGTCATCTTCGGGAAGCTGAGTAAGGTCGGCCGCAGACGGGTAGACGGGGCGCTTCGGCATCTCATTTAGCTCTATTAGTGTCAGCCCGTTGTGCAACTCGAGACTGCCCCACGCAAGTCATAGTAGGTTCTTCGTAGACACCTTGCCATTGCAGATTTGGCTTCCTGTCACCTGGGGCTAATGCGCTCTATATGCATGCTATCCTCCTCCTGGGGTTGGAGAGGTGGAAAACACGTGTGAATGAAGCTGTGGCTGTGAGCAGTTGTCGCCAGGTCGGAAAAGAGCCAATCAGCCGCTCTGCTACGGTAATACCGCGCCAAGATCAACCACGGCGCTCTCCTTTACGGCAGTCATCTATCCTAGTCTTGGAAATGACCCTAGCTATACTGGACAGCGCTACCACCAGGAACAGCAGCAACGGTCGAGGCACCAAACGCATGAATGAACTGTATTCCGTTATCTGATGTCCCACAGGCTGAAGATCGTATGCAGTCTGGATCAGGTCGCTTAGAAGTCTTTCTGTATGCGGTACGACTATTCTGTACACAAGAAAGCTGAAAGGTCCAGCGTGAGGCTAAACTTCAAGATAATTCGTCCATGCGCCGCAAGTACATACCATCTTTGGATCAGAACTCGATGGTTGACGAGGAATATGTTGCAGATGCAGCAGGATGATATGTCGTTGCTTCACATGAGTGTTTTGCGCCGACAAGTTGCAGCTGGTGGATCTATGATCTATTGCTTTAGTTGCCCATGATCCACATCTCTCGACAATAACACATTGACATCATAGTGACCGTCGAAGTAGGCAATGCTTCAACGAGTATAAGAGGACAAACAAATCCGCATCACTTGAAGAACATGAATCCAGCTTTGCGGACAATCTTCTTGATCAATCAATCACCTCGTACTACTTACTACATTCAGTTTTAGCTGATCACCATTATGGCTTCCCACAACAACAGTTTCGACTTTATCGTGGTCGGTGGAGGAACAGCCGGCAATGTCGTCGCTGGCCGCCTTGCCGAGAACCCCAATGTAAAGATCCTCATCGTTGAGGCCGGCATAGGCAACCCAGAGCAGGTGAGTACGAGAAACCTGTGGTGTTTTCATTTTTTCAGTTTTCCCGAGGCCATTATGTTGTCGAGAATTTGTTTCCCGGTCCCACGTTTTGGGCTTGGGAAACACCCATGTTACTTGTTGGTCAAGCATGCAAGCTTGATCGGAAGTTCTCATGATCCAGAGAAAAATAGGAAGCTAACACAAATCGACTCACAAGGTTTCAATGATCAAAACGCCCTCCAGTGCCATGGACCTTCGCGGCAGCGAGCACGACTGGGCGTACAAGACAACCATTGTCAAACGCGACGACTACGAACGAATCGAAAAGCCAAACACTCGGGGCAAGACACTTGGAGGCAGTTCAAACCTCAACTACTTCACCTGGGTCCCTGGCTGCAAGCCAACATTCGACATGTGGGAGGAATATGGCGGCAAGGAGTGGACATGGGATCCCTTGGTGCCGTACTTACGGAAGAGCGTGACCTACCATGACGACCCCCAACTGTACAACCCAGAACTGAAAAAGACTGGATCCGGTGGTCCTATTCACGTCTCCCACGCTGAGCTACTAGACGAGCTTGCACCATTCCGCGCTGCCCTCACCAAGGCGTGGACATCGATGGGACAGCCACTCACGGAGAATATTTACGACGGCGAAATGATTGGACTCACCCACTGCATGGACTCCATCTACAGAGGCCGGCGGTCAGGAAGTAACCTTTTCCTCGAGGGGAAGCCAAACATTACGGTGATGCCGCAAGTGCAATCCAAAACTCTGATCATTGACCCTGCCGACAAATCGTGCAAGGGTGTTACCGTCATTGATGCATCCGGCCAAGAGCACAGCTTCTTTGCCAAGCGCGAGGTCATTCTATCCCAGGGCGTATTCGAGAGTCCGAAGTTACTCATGCTCAGCGGAATCGGTCCCTCCAAGGAGTTGCAAAAGCATGGCATTAAAGTCCTGGTCGACAACCCCCATGTCGGCCAGCATCTCCTTGATCACCCAGGCGTGCCCTTTGTCCTACGTGTCAAGGACAACATCACCATGGATAACTACTTGATCCACAAGACAAATTTGCATACCCAGTCTGTGGAGAAATACAGCAAGGATCACTCCGGCCCCGTCGCGTCCGGTCTCCTGGAGCTCGTGGGATTCCCCCGGATCGACAACTACTTCGAAAAGGACCCCGAGTACCGCAAGCGCAAAGCGGCCAATGGCGGACGCGATCCCTTCTGCCCCGACGGCCAGCCGCACTTTGAGCTCGACTTTGTCGGCATGTTTGGCAGCGCGTTCCAGTGGCACTACCCCGTGCCCAAGGAGGGCTGCTACACGACCGTCATTGTCGACCTGGTGCGCCCCGTCTCCGAGCCCGGCGAGGTCACGCTCAACAGCGCCGACCCGCTCGTGCAGCCCAATATCAACCTCAACTTCTTCTCCGACGAGCTCGACATAATCGCCATGCGCGAGGGTATCCGGTTCAGCTACGACTTGCTCACCAAGAGCGAAGGGTTCAAGGACCTTGTTGTCGCCGAGTACCCGTGGGAGATGCCGCTCGATGACGATGTCGCCATGAGACGTGCCGTGCTAGATCGCTGCCAAACTGCCTTTCACCCATGCGGCACTGCACGTCTGTCCAAGAGCATTGAGCAGGGTGTAGTCGATCCGGCTCTCAGGGTCCATGGCGTCAGCAACTTGCGCGTGATTGACGCTTCAGTCATTCCGGTCATTCCAGACTGCCGTATCCAGAACTCCGTGTACATGGTTGGTGAGAAGGGCGCTGATATAATCAAGGCTGCACACAAGGATTTGTATGCTTAGTTGCCCAAGTTCATTCGTGTAACTGATACTAGCGCCTTCGCAATTGCTTTATGAAGATACGAATATTTCTAGAAAATTATAAAATCCATAGTAAGCCTCAAATTATGATATTTGCTGACCACTACAACAAGCTGTTCACCTACACTGCTATTCTTGTAGACCCAGATTGTATTCAGTGTCTCGCTACTGGAAAGTCTGGCACTTTGATAACTTACTACTTGCATAAAGACGTTGTACATCAGGTGTGAAGTAGTTTAGAAAGTGAGGTTCTGGGAGCTGAAATTTGAGTTACTCATGCCAAATGTTAGATCTACAATAGAACACGCTTGTGGAGGTCCACGTTCAGGGAAATGATCTGCCTGCTTCAGTACACAGTACGGCTTCGACAGCCTCGCAAATAAGTGGGAGATTCACAATAGTACAACACTGCGCGACATAACTCAATACAATCCGCACGGCGAACTAGAAGCTACATTCACCCCACATACTGGCTCCTTTGCTGCCTCTGAGCTCGTTGACAAAGATCTCTCGCGGTCTCATGTCGCTGTCACAAAGTGCCGCCAAAGCGTCGTGAAAGTCCACGCTACAATGAACACCATAACGACAGGTCGGGACAGGAGCTTCAAGGCCCATTTGACGAGACTTACAAAGTTCTCAGCGTCTTTCTGTAGTAGTCTTGCAATAGAGAGAAATGTAAAGGTACAGACGACGACGATGTCGAGGACGCGATCACGGAGGCCTTCTATACTGATGACCACGGTTGGCTTGAAGAGCCAGGTGAGTAATGTCTCGATCCGTTCCCCAAATCTCCCTACGCAAAGTGTCAGGCTGTTAATAAGAGAAATTAGATTTCTTTACTCACAAGAAGCCTTCCTGGGGCGATACGGTGGCGGTTCAAGATTCACTTTGGGCAAGCCGGGTTCTGGCACCTCCACGCCACGGCTGCGGAGTGCATCGCGAAGCATCTCCAGCATTGTTTCATCCGAATTGCAGGAAACGAGCCCTGTTCGCCCGGATTTCTTCATGCCCCCTATTGATTGACAATAAGGGTTAGAAGTCTTGTAGGCTCGTGGATGTTTGCCCTGAGCGTTCTGCTCAGCAAGCTGAAGTGCCGATAGACCGCAAGGGGCGCACTTCGTGATCTCCGCACCAGCACTTATAAGTACTTCAATCGCCGGTATCATTCCAGCGTACAAAGCGACCATCAGAGGCGTGTACCCTTTTGTCGCTGCCACGTGATCAAGTGGGCTGCTGTCCCGGGGGGCATACTCGAGGCCACACCCGAAGACAGATGACGCCGACAGCCGCCGTAGCACTTGGTGGAAAGCACGGGCGCGGCTTCCCACATCTTCTTGTCTCCAAAAGTTCGAATACTGCGTTGTGGCAAACATCCCATATTGAAGATAGAGTCTCAGACCTTCCGGAAAGCGACAGTGTTCTTGTTCATATCGGAAGATGAAGCAATCGACCATTATATCAATAGATCCCAGTGATTCGGTTGGGCCCTTTCGTATGAGTGGCTGCATAACATGGTCTCGATTCAGAATAAACCCATCTGCATCGCCAAGCAAGTGATCAGCATACTTCTGGGAAGGTTCCCATTGCCTGGGGAGAAATTTTAGGTTCAGTAGTCGATCCACGAACCCAGAATCTCGACTGATTCGGCGTTGCATCATAGGCTGACTCAACTGGCGCTTCAATTCCGATACCGGTATCCTCTCCAAATGCGAATCCAGGATGAAGTCAAAAATCTCAGGAACTCCTCCCTCGGCCGCGGACTTGAAAATAAGACCGATATCAATACCATTCTCTACCAAAAGCTGCACCAGTACAGCATTCCCGTAGTGAATGACGTATTGGGTGACAATAAATTTGGTATCTAAGGGCGCTTTTTGGATCTCACTGCATACTCTTTCGATGGTGAAGCCAGCACTTGTGCGATAGCCTGCGTTGCCAGTAATCAGTGTCCTGAGTTCCGGCTTGATGTGGATCATAAGAACCAGGAACCATCTATCATATACCAGCTCCTTGTCGACGGCATCCAGACCACCGATGTCGAACAAAGTCTCGCTCATCTCCTGAATGCAATTCCGAAAAGGTAAAAGATGGCCAAGGTAGCCCACCCACAACATTGTGGGCATATTTGAAAAACCATATGGTCTCCATTGTGGGCGCATTATCATTGTAGCACACGCAGCCGCGTTTCGAACCAACTTCATTGCCGAATACAGTTGAAAATAGTCTGAAGATGCATATTGAGGATGCATTTCCAAAATATGGCAGTATCTTTCCGTGATTGCCCATTGCACTCTGTCATATCGGTCAGCAAATGGTCTGCTGCATGACATTAACAGTACTAACGGTCGCCAGTCATCTCGGTCTGGTCGGCAGCCGATCTCGAGCAACATTTCCAACATTTCGTAGTATGCTGGGTAAAACCGAGCCAAGTTGTCAAAGTCTTCGCTGGTCTTAGTCAATCTAGTGTCGACCACATCGCGTTCGGCATCCCACCCGTCCTCCATGTTCAAATGGCGCGCCGCGGCATAACAGCGAGGCATATCGTAATATTGAATTCCGCACCTGGCGTTGTCGTAGTCGGCGCGCGTTTGCTCGCGCGTTTGCTCGCAGAGACGGTGATGCAAGGCAAAGCTAGAAGATCTTAGCATTGTAGACTAGAGGGAAGAGGCGCCGCTCACACTGATAATATACTACTTGTTTTTTGAAAAGCATGCCTCAAGGAATCGTGAGGCCCGAAGCGCCGCTCATCTAACAAACGCCTTAGCTTGCCGGGACTGGGTAGTTTTGTTCGCCACCACCAGGATTCACAGGTCTTTTTGTGCTTCGGGCACCCATTGATATCGATTTCACAGAAGAAATATCCGCAAAAGGGTTTACGAATCAGACCCAATGCTTCAAGGACCTCGTCATCCTCACAAAGCACACCCATTTTGCTCTCGATTTTGACAGATGGATCATTGATGCCCATGGTCAAATGGCATGTCCATTCGACGAATTTCAGCGAGAAGCACCTATAAGGCTCGAATCTGATCCGGAACATGACTCGCCATGGGCCACCATGATTCTGGCCTGTAGTATAGCGATCCATACGGTTGCGAGAAACGCGCAGTCGTCCAAAGGGTGTCCTGTAGACATTCGCGTGAAAAATCGACGGAAATAGCACTTCCTGATCGGCGCCGTTATGGCCATGATCCCGTATGTCGTGTAGAAGATGCCGAGAGTTTCTTTGCTGCTTTTGACTAATACGATCTTTATTTCTGACGGCAAGTTGCATTGTTTGGAAAGTCTGTTCCATATTCTTCTTCATCTCCAGTACGGATGAGTGACTTGATGACTGAATCAGCGTCCGCGTCTCTTGATTGTGTTCCTCAATAACAGCAGTCATATGTGCAACCCAGAACGACTGCATATTTGACAACTGTTGCAGTTGTCTCTCTCTCGCTTCGGAGGCTGCCTCGAGAGCGCTTGAAATCTGACTATGCATCGTCATGTCTTCTGCATGGAATTGGGTTGCGGCAGATCTGATGGATTGAAAAGACTCGTTGACGCGGACCCTAACGTACAAGTTTTATTAGTGAATCTGCTGTAGTTAAAATGTCAGGTAGCGAGACTATACCTGTTTACTCTTTCACTGAACTGTTCCAAGCGAAAAATTCGGTCTTGAAGCAACGATTTGTGCTTTTTGACATCCTCTTCGCTTAGAAACATCCGCACGGCTGTTTCCACTCTTTGCAGGCTCTTGCCCCGTGTTCGGGTCTTCGCCATCTTCTCCAGCCGCGTCCTATACCCTTTCAGCTCCTCGTAGGAATCTTTAATGCAAGAGTCCAGCAGAGCGTTCTCTTCGTCCGTAATGGAGCTGTTGCGAAGCGAATTATAGTCGTTTCTAAGCTCTATCACTGTGTTAGTCAAAACTTTCACGCTCGTTTACACTTGTCCGCAAATACCCAAGAGTCGGGATTCGTGCTCAGCGAGTCTTCTTTGCGCTGTGCTGAGATCAATTTGGCCGTCTCGGAGGACTGTAATGAAGTCGTTCAGGTGTTTCAGGCCTGTGAGAGCGCTGCCGGCCAGCCCGACTATGGCTCCGGCAGCGCCAACGGCTTCCATGGCCAATCAGTTGATCGCGACTTCTTGTCGGATGAGAGAAAGAATACAGGTTTACATTCGAGAACAACTACAGATTATGTGGGGGAGGGGTTTCGTTTTGACTAGCATGGCGAGGCTGTGGGTGTCCCAAGCCAGAGAACGCCTTGGGCTGCAACTGTGACACCGACATTCTTTTCGGGTAAACGATTGGCTACGGCAGGGTCATGTCCATGTATTTATTACGCCCAATGCTACACTCATACGTTTTGAGCGCCCGTGGCTCGTCATAATGGTAGGCGGAGACCACATCCCGCTGGTCAGGTGCATCAGCCAGAGTAGTAAGGTTGACTAGACTCGGTGAGGCACATCTGAGAAGACCTTCCAGACAGATGAAGGAAAAAGATAAAAAGAAGAAAATAAAATTAACAACCGCCCGGAGCCGTGTTGAAACGGTTTCATGTAAGGCGACAGCGAAAATTGAACCAGAACACACATAGCCGGTTGGCGGCGGGCGGGCGGAATGAGTTAGCTCGCAAATGCATCCCGCGTTGTTGTTCTCGCATCGATAAAGAGCCCACCACCCTTGGTCATTTCAGATGTGTCGATTCCCATGGGCAACACTGTCAGCGATGCGGGTTTTGCATTACAGTCCTATTTTAGATAGGAATTGTTGATTGAAAGTTTGACATACAAAAATAAGAGGGAAAGCAACTGAGATAGTTACACAATAGCTGAAGGGGCACCGAAAGGATTGTGGGTATACTTACCTACCTACTTAGGTAGGTAGCGACACTGTCGCTGTCATTGACCAGCTCCGCAACAATTTCATCGCTTTCACCGTCATCGTTGCTCTTCCCTTTTGTCATTTCCACAATACCAGCACAACTTTTTGGCCTCTCCAGTTTTTCCCATTTTCCGAGCTCCATCTTCGTCATCGAATGCGAATCTCAACACAGCCTCCTGGTCGCATCAGTCCGCCATGGTTATGAACCCGACGGGCACCTTGTCCGCAGTAATGAATCGCGCCACCTCCCCTGGGTCCAGCGCACCCTCTGGCACCATGAACCCGGCCGGCGCGCTTATGCTAGGTACGCTGCACAGGTTGGCCATGCACACATATTCTATACTCTGCCTGGTTTGATCCCCGTCACTAGTCGCGAACCGTAGCTCGGCCTCCTCGTGAATAGGCCACCCGGTACAGGCCGTGGTAGTAGTCAAGATGAGCATGCCAGAGTGCTGCGACCAGAGCCATACGAGATGTTGTATGAGCGCTCGTCGTGGCTTTTGCGGCAGTCGGTAGTCGCTGGCTGAGGTGGTCTAACCGAGGGCGAGAAAAGATCTTGTTGGCGGATGATATACCCCTATAAATAGGAAGCAAAGTGGTAGCGACGATTGGAACGATGATGACAAGTACAATTTGGCCGTAAGAAATAAGGGGAGTGCGTATTGGCAATCGCAACATCGCGCAGCTCAGAGTCTGTGACCTGCTTATGTCACTCTGTTATCAACGATGGTATGGGACATATGACCACAATACATGAGGGTATGAAAGTCCTGGGCCGCCAGTAAGTTATTGAAAACACTAAATGTTGAATCTAAGGAGAGATGCCACTCGGAGTTCGTGATTATTAGCACCTATAGTTTCACTCGCAAGTTGTACGAACACTAGAAAGGACAACGTCAACTATTACAAAGGACCCTGCAAACAAAAGTATGTCTTTCTTCACTTCTATCATGATTGCTCATTTACTCCGGCACTACTGTTTTCTGCTGAGAATTCTCTTTCAGTTGCCTAGAGAATAGATGAGGTGTATTTATCGCGGTTCCCAAGTGGCCTCTCGCATAACAATCCTTTCTAACCGCACCAGTTCCAAATGATCATCACTACTACACAAATACCTCACCCATCGTCTCCATCGATTGAACCGGTTCATCTCTGACTCCAAAGCCAAAGCCTGATCAAATCTAAGAATCTCACCAAGATCGAACGCCCTCGATTGGCGCTTGGATTCCGTAAATGGATATAGCCAGAACGTCATTTTCAGGCTCCAGTCTTTATCAATGATAAGTTGACTCATACGAATGAGATTCCGGATAATGTCCGGTGAGGGTTCATTTCTAGGAATTATGCGTTGAAACAAGGATATTGATACGATGACCCAGACGGGCCACTTTTCGATCAGGCCGGTCTTCCAATGTTTGACCGGATGCATGCCTTCTAGGTCGACATGTCGATCCAGTAATTCCCCCACTAAATCCGTTCCCGGAGGACCTTGCGTGGCCATAACAGCAGAGACAAGGAGATTCAGGTTGTTATCGGTACGAAGAACTTCCGGGTTCCGATCGACCCCATCCAGCACAAATTTCTCCAATCCAAAGTAAGCAGCAATGTGAACCAATGATTTTGAAATCAGATCATAGACAATAGTCTGGTATGTGCTCCAATTTATTGGCCTGAGGCCGACCCAGTAGGGTTCATAAACGCCTCGACAATTGATCGTTGCCTGTAGTTCCCAAAAAAGTGTTGTGCCATCTTTTAGCGCGTGGAGTCCCATTAAATAATGGCCTAATCGCTGACTGTAAATTTCTTTACGTTCTTTAGAACCGCGACAGATTTCAGCAAGGCATATCTTGAAGTATATATGATATGCATTGAAGTCAGGCCACGACTCACGTATTAAAGCTCGCTGAACCTTATTATCCCATAGATAATCACGGGCAGATCGGTGGAAGAATTCAACTGTCCAGTTTGAAAAATCTTCTCCCTGATAGGGACGAAACCCGCTCTCAATGTTATCATTGTGTTTGGTCTCCAGGAAGTCTCTGGTGAGGCCCTGGACCTGAGCTTTCACACGACTCAGCGTCCGGACAGCTTCATCTTTTGAGTAACATTCGAACATTGTTGCATTTGGAAAATCTGCATCCTGCAGGCCCTGCGATTGTCCATCGTCAAAGCCGGGAATCCAAGAAAACGAGAGGGCATCTATTGGCCAAGGACAGAGGTTTTCGAGGGCTAGTAGGAGGATTCTGAATGCCCTTTCCCTATCTATCTTGCTTCTCCCGATAGATTCCAGCGATTTGGCGTAAAGTTCTTCCAGTTGTACCGGGACTTCATCAACCCGTTTCCTCAGTACACGCAACGGATCCTCATTGCGAAGAGCATTGAGAAGCTGGCGAACTACGAGGAAAGTCCACAGGAAAACTCCTTGAGACTTCTTGGCAATTGCCCTTATCAACTCTTCGCGGTCTTGTTCTGGTAGATTCTTTCCTTTCCTATCTTGGCCCAACTTTTCTCGGCAATATGCATAGATGTCTGATTTGTTCAGCTGATGCAAATAGATAGTTGTATGTCCAGAAGATTGAAATATGTCTAGAAACTCCCGATACGGTCGGGAGCTGGCGCAGACTTTTACGTTTTCTGCCTTTGCCCAGCCACATATTTGTTCGGCGAGATTTTCGTGGTCTTGTTTGTCTCCGCTAAGCTCATCGAGGCCGTCGATGAAGAAGCAGAACTTGTAGCCTGAGAAATCTCTACTCTCAGTCAGCATCGCGAATGCCTCCTCGATTCGTCGCTGCCCGAATTCTTGAATTCCCTCCACCAGAGGGTCTGTCCAGGAGCGTGAGGCCTTCAAGCGTCGCCATTGCTGGGGGAAGATCTTCTCCATCAACTCTGGATGTTGACTCAATGCCCCAAACAAGATTGTTCGATGTAGCCCTTCAAGCGATCGCTGCAGGTCGTTTCCTGGCGCCCAGAAATAGAAATCGGCCAGGACCAAAGTTTGGGTTCCGGCCCATAGCTCCAATTTCTTTTTTGTAACATCATGTCCAGCAATGTATTTCATGAGCGCCGATTTTCCTGAGCCAGTATTTCCAGAAAGATGAAAGACGCCTGTTCCTGCCTCTAACCACGTCAGATACTTCTGGCTAGCATCGGTTCGCACATCTTGAAACTGGCGATCTGCAGAAGTAGCGTCTTTATCAATGGGGTCTGCTTGAGAAAAGATCCATTGCAGAGTACCAGCTTCTGGACTGACGATTGCAGAGTGGCGGGAAGGCATCTGTTGATAGGCAAGTTGGCGAAGAATTCTTTGCTGAATGGGCATGTCAATGATAGAAGATTGCAAGTATGCAATCATTCTCTTGAGGTCTTCCAGCGAGTCGATCAACGAGAAGGCCTCTCCATTTGGGTGGTTGGGTGGCGCCTGAGGGGTTGTTTCTTTCTCTAAAGCTTCGATAAGATCGTCGCGAAGAGAGGTGAGCTTTGTAGCCAGGCCCAAGTTTAGATCGCTGAAACTGTCCTGAATAGCGTGCATTTGAACATTCAAGCTAGCTTTGTCATCACTATGGTGAAATTAGCTTCCATAAAAGCGATAAAGAGGCAAATCTTGTTATATATACCGAAGGAGCAGGGCCAAATTGAGCATGAGCTGCTCTCTGTATCCTTGCAACTTGAAACTCAGCTCATCGATCTTCTCCTTCCCCGTCGTGATGGCCCACTGAGTCTTGAAACTTTTCCAGATCGTCCTTTTGTTTTGTGAGTTTTTCACTAGAGGTCGGAACAACTTTTGCAACTCTTGAGAGGTCGCAAGGCATTTCTCGCTCAGATTAGCTATGCTCTTTTCCGCACGACTTGATCCAGGAGCCCCGTTTCGGAGGTCATCTGTAATGGACTCGAGGTCTGATGTGATGGTCTCAATGTCCTGATCATCTTTGACTCGGCCATTGCGATACACCTCTATAGTCCCAGTGATGAGACTCCAAGAGAAGTCGATGAAGGTGATGATTGCACTGGCAATCCCTAGTGCCGATCCGGGATCCATCGTGGATGCAAGTGGCTTGAAGGAAAGATTACATGGAACGTCGAAAGCGGGGGGATATAACAGCCTTATCTGAGAGATCAATTAACTAGTAGGCCAAGGCAGGGTCGAAAGACACCGAGGCGCAGCCCGATACGTCGGGCTGAAATGCATGCAGGGCTGGAGAGGGGTCGCTGTGGCTGTGAGTAGAAGAAAAAGTCTGCCTCCCGGAGACGCACATTTTCCAGGATAATATCACAGACACTCTATGGTTCCCATAATGACAACAAAGATAATATGCCAGAAACGTGCTACAAGTCCATGAGAAGCAATCAAACGGCTGCATCCTATTTTTGGCGCATGCACTTGTCACACCTATCTCCCTTCTCTCAACGGGGTATGAGATCGTAACAGTTCATATTGACACCTCCTACGTGAACTAGGTATGCAGTGAAGGAAATTTGCTTGAATTTGAAGCAAAAAGTAAGGCGTCTCGATGTATGACGCGAAACGATCCTTTCTGTGGCTTTGGGGAATTTGAGCGGTCTTGCTAGGATGGTTCATCAGCGAATTGATTCTATTGGCTGCCGCAAGACATTCAAGGAGTTTGTTCAAGATGATAAACAAGTCTTTCGGTGTTCAAGGACAAATAGCTGAAACTGCTTGACCCTACAGTGACCGATACATATAAAAGACTTCCTTTCTCCTTTGCTGAACAAGAATCCCCTGGATATATGCGAGAGTCTTAATTTATGTTTCAACTAAGCGTAAATATTGTAAAAATCAATGAATGGTTTCCGTAACTTGTAAGAAACAACTGCAAACTGCACAATCTCAAGCTTCGAGAACTTTGAGATAGATCCGAGAATAATGAACAAAAGCTAGAAGAGGAAATACCCGGTATTATAGTAGGCCACTAATATCCAAAGCCTTTCTCAACAAAGTTGAGACTAACCAGTTGCATGATCGAGGTTCCAATGCAAGTGAAGTACAATGCACGGTATAGAAAGCAGACTAAAATATTGGCAACGCCCAGAAGCATAACGGATAAGAGTCGCTCCGCAATCATCACTACGGATGCCCAGAGGGCAAACTATTGAAAAACCAAGATTCGGATAAAATCACTCTATTTACAGCAGCAAAAATCCACCTCCCTTTGCCTTTCCCCCTTTTTTTTTTAGGATTTTTTAACAAAAAGAAAAATAGAAAAAAAAAATGGAAAGAAAAATGGAAAAAAAAATTAAAAAAAAAATTAAGAAAAAAAGGAAAAAAGGTAAAAAAAAAATTTTATATTATAATTTATTATAATATTTTTATTATAGCCACAAAAAACTGAGCGTATAAGGCTGAAATCGCGGTTTTTTAACAGTTTGCTCTCTGGTGCTCCGTAAATCAGTTGTATTTAGATTTCGGGGCGGCCAGCAACCCCAAGCCTTAGAGTCCTTTTCACCTCCTTTGCAATCAATTTGCTTGCGGAGGAAGCGCCGTTGGTTTTCAGCAAAGGAACCATTGTGCTATAGTAAACAAGGGCGGCGATATCGCCGAGATATCGTGTCAATGTCTTCGGTTGCGCCGCCGTCGACGCTAAGACAAGGGGCTTTCGGGGTGGTTTTGCAGTGGATAGGACATCACATGTTGCTATAATGATTGGAGCGGGTATAAGCAGCGGCTAAATTCGATAAACTGGGGGGGCCTCTGCCAAGAGAGTTCCAGAAGCTCCCCTTAGCTGCTTAGCTTCTGGAGCTCCCCTGGCTTTCCCCCAAAGCTGACCCCCAAAAAGCCCACCCTTCATGTCGTAATGATGTTAGCTCTAGTGGGGAGTTTCGTCGATAGCTCCTTAGAAGCCCCTCCAAAAAGCTGCCCCGCGTCGCGACAGTATCGTCATGCTGGTCGACGGCCTTCCTAATTGGCCTCTGCATGGCATCTGGGGCCGCGCGAGGTTGGAGGGAGAAAGGGAAAGAGGGGCCGCGGTCAGGTCTCTGACATTTGTCTGATGCGGTCGAATAACCAGACGAGAAAGTCAAACTCTGTACATGTTGAATGATCAAGTGATTACATACTCCGACAGCGGCAGGTAGCTAAAGAGCTTCTCCAGTCTTTCTTCCTCTCTCATAGCTCTTCAATATTCTTATATTCTATCTGACTGTTACCATACTTTACACCAACAATTCCACCTGCATATTCTACAAATCCGACCCCGAGTTCTGGATCGTGACTTTCTCGGTCCCTGCTGTCACTACCTGATCTGAGTCTTCACAGCAAAACATACGAGACATACCAGCACAATGGATCCCAGTACAGCCAGCGTAAGAGCGCCCCTCGGAAGCATAGTCGTTCAGCCACCATGTGGAAGAAATGTGCATACTGGGCCGTATAAACCAGAGCACCTTGACTTGACTTGAGTTTGGCAATTGAGATGCATGGAATTCAAAAGCTGTGCCCTCCATGAACCGAATTTGCAGAGAATACGTTACCCTCTTTGATTCAAGCTCTCTAACATTGCACAACTATAGAACAAATCCTTTATCCTCGAAAAGCCCAAGTCCGTTACCTACGCCGACCGGCCGGTGCCCAAGCTCAGCTCCCCTCATGATGTCCTCGTCGCCGTAAACTACACGGGCATCTGCGGCTCCGACGTGCACTACTGGCACCACGGCGCCATTGGGCACTTTGTCGTCAAGGACCCCATGGTGCTGGGCCACGAGAGCGCCGGCACCGTCGTGGCCGTCGGCGACTCCGTCACCACCCTGCAAAAGGGCGACCGCGTCGCCCTCGAGCCCGGATACCCCTGCCGCCGCTGCGAGCCCTGCCTCGCCGGCAAGTACAACCTCTGCCCCGAGATGCGCTTCGCCGCCACGCCGCCGCACGACGGCACCCTGACGGGCTTCTGGGCCGCCCCCGCCGACTTCTGCTACAAGCTGCCCGACCACGTGTCGACGCAGGAGGGCGCCCTGGTCGAGCCCCTCGCCGTCGCCGTCCACATTGTGCGCCAGGCCGCGGTGTCGCCGGGCCAGTCCGTCGTGGTCATGGGCGCGGGGCCCGTGGGCCTGCTGTGCGCCGCCGTGGCCAAGGCGTTTGGCGCCACAAAGGTCTGCAGCGTCGACATTGTCGACTCCAAGCTCGAGTTTGCAAAGTCCTTTAGCAGCACGCACACGTACGCGTCGCAGCGCATCTCGGCCGAGGAAAACGCCGAGAACATCAAGCGCGCCATTGGCCAGCCCGGCGGCGCCGACGTGGTCATTGACGCCAGCGGTGCCGAGCCCAGCATCCAGACGAGTCTGCACACGGTGCGCATGGGCGGTACCTATGTGCAGGGCGGAATGGGCAAGCCCGACATTACCTTTCCCATCATGGCCTTGTGTCTAAAGGAGGTGACGGCCAAGGGCTCGTTCCGCTATGGTAGTGGCGATTACCGCCTGGCCGTTGAGCTTCTCGCCAGCGGCAAGGTTGACGTCAAGAAGCTCATTAGTGACGTTGTGGCCTTTGAGCAGGCCGAGGAGGCCTTTAAAAAGGTTGCCGAGGGCAAGGTTATCAAGATTCTGATTGCTGGCCCCAATGAGAAGCAATAGTGGGATGAAACAGATGCAAGGGATTGTTTATTAAAGTTTAGGAGTATATGGAGCGTCGGTGTTGTTGAGAGTATGGGCGGTGTTGAAATCAAAACTTATGACGGCGTAACAGGCAATTCAGGTCAATGGAAATGAATTTCAATATGGAAAGGTATTTGCTTATGTGCACTAATTGTAAAGCATGTCAATGAAATGAGATGGACTTTTGACAGGCTATGGACTGCAGCGAAATGCGCGGTGATTTCATCATCACCAAATCAGAAACATCGAATGATCGCCTTTGTCATGGAAGAGAATGACCTAGATCATGCCTAGGTAACGAGTCGTAATCTTGCTCGACTTCTTGGCACCCGTGACAGCAATGCTCACAATCTCACCCGGCACAATATCAACCAAGTTGTCAGCAAACTTGACATCGTCATCCTCACACTCGAGCGCAACGCCCTTGACGGGGACTTCGGCACTAATGGCCACGGCTGTCGCATCCTCGTTCAGCTCCGCCTTGAGATGCTTTGGCTTTTGCAGGTGTAGGTACTTGAGAGGCTCTGGCCAGTTGACGTAGCGCGCAATCTGCTCACCGTCCCGGATCAGGTAGCTAGCCACAATGGTACGGCCCTCGTCGCCCTTTTTGGGTGCGGGAACATCCATGGCCACGACCTCGGTGCTCTGGTTCTTGGGGAGCAGCAGTTTGTCAGCCACCTTTTCCGAATACGTTTCCTCGCCCGTCTCCACGTCCCAGCCCTTGACCATGCAGTCGACCTCGAGGTCCTCGAGGGTCAGGTTGGATCCCCAGATCTCAATCTCGATCTTGGTGTCAATATGGACGCGCGTGTACTTGTCGCGGGGCGTCTTGTGCTCGCGCCGGGTCATGCCGACGCTGACGGGTGCCATCTCGCGCTTGACGGTAAAGTAGGCGTGCTTGGGCCGCAGGTAATAGTCCGCAATGGCCCAGCTCGTCACGGGCCAGCAGTCGTTGATTTGCCAGACGAGGGCGCCTGCACAGTATTCCCGCCCGGGCCCCTTCCACTGCCGCTTCCAGAGGCGGTACGCCGATGCCAGACACTCGGCCTGCATCAGCTGCGTGCAGTAGACAAACTGCTCTAGTGGGTCGGGAGCGTATCGCATGTTCTCGACCAGGTACAGGGCGATTCTGCGCTCGTGACCATCGGCCTTGTTGTGAAAGTCAATGGTCGAGGATTGCGGGTAGCGATCGGGGTCATCCTTGCCGAGTGGCAAAAAGGCATCAATGGTCTTGACTGATGGGAATGCCTCCATGCCAAACTCGGAAACGAAACGGCCAACAAGCTTGTCAAAGTTTTGATACTTTTCCTGCGTGCCATGCCACACGTTCCACTGATGAATGTCGCCAACGGTCGGGTCATGGGTATCAACACCGCCCCATGGACTTCCTGGGTGGTAGTATGTCGCCGGCACAAGCTCCTTGCATGCATCCGGCAAGATCTTTTCGTAAATGTATCGGGCGGGAAAGTCCGTCTTCAGCCAGCCTTCAGCATTGTGATCGTTTTGATCCCATGTCAAGTTCTCACTCTCCGCGTATTGGTAGTCCTCATTGTTGCCAGCCCAGATCACGATACTAGGGTGGTGTCTGAGCAGTTTAATATTCTCTTCAGCCTCTTTCTTGATCGACGCAAGGAGTTCTGGCCAAGCGGGATAGTTGCCGCACCCAAACATGAAGTCCTGCCAGACGAGGATGCCAAATTCGTCGCAGGCGTCGTAGAAGGCTTGCTCTTCGTAGATGCCTCCACCCCAGACCCGGATCATGAACTGGTTGCCATCAGCCACGAGCTTGACCCAGTCATAGTACTTTTCCCTGCTGATACGCGGGAGAAAGTTATCGGCTGGGATCCAATCGCTGCCGCCGCAGAATATGGGAATATTGTTGATTTCAAAGAAGAATGACGTGCCCGGCTGCTCCTTGAGAGGCCTTTGGACCAACCGAGCTCTCCTGAGTCCAATCTTCTTGCTGATGGCATCAATATCCTTGCCCTGATGCACCAAGGTTGCCTTGATTGTGTATAGGGGCTGTTTTCCATATCGTACGGGATACCACAGCTCTGGATCGTTGATCGTGAATGTAGCATCGGTACCTTCGACTTCCTGTCGAGCCAGCGACTCGTCATTCAGAGACACATCAAAGCGAATCTTGGCCGGTTTCCCCTCGACCGTCGTATTGACCTTGACCGTAGCAGTCTTGAGGGACTCATCCACGTCAATATCACACCAAAGATCTGAGATCCTGGACTCGTATAACTCGAGGTTGATTGGTCGCCATGGGCCACAAGTAAGAAGTGCCGGACCCCAGTCCCATCCCTGCGGGTATTAGCATGTTGTGTTGTGAAAGTCATATTTAATACGGGGACATACCCAATGGTACTGAGACTTTCGCACAGCAAGTCTGGAGTTGTCACCATTCCAGCAGCCCCATTTGTGGTCAGGGTACTTTTCAACCAGCTTCCAGCCCCGGAGATAGGCACTGTCAAATGTGATGACCAGCTCATTCTCTCCGTCCCTTTTCAGGACAGAAGTCACGTCGACGCGCTCTGGCAGAAACATGTTCTCAGACTCGAGAATAGTGTCGCCATTCAGCACCACCGAGGCAAACGTGTCGAGGCCATCAAATGCCAAGACGGCCTTTGCGGCGCTCCCAAAGTCGGAGGGGGTTGGAAAGGTCGTCCTATAGACCCAGGCTTCTTCTCCAATCCATTGGACGTCGAGCTCATTCTTGCCAATGAAAGGGTCTGGGATCTTTTTGTGGGAGAGAAGGTCTAGGTGGACGTTTGTCGGGAATTGGCCGACGGGAAGGTATGTGCTATCGTCATGGCTGGCCTGTTTGAATGTCCAGTTCTGGTCAATGGGAATGACAGTGCGGGGCTCCATAGTGAGTTATGGGCAGAGGGGGGAGGCTCCAGAATCCCGAACCGAATTGAGGCTGTGAATCAAGAAGAAGCTGTGAATTAAGCGTAAATTCGCTCGCCGTTCTCGACATTTATATATCAGCAATAAGCAGATAAGTCTGTTGCCAAAGTGGATACAAAGATAGAAACAGTAGGACGGGGTAGCGACCGCCGAAGTACGAAGTACAATCAGCTCTTCCCCGCCACTCCACGGACTGTTTGAGACACACTTGCAGCAGCAGAATGACGATAGACACGACAGAACTCTATACTCAATCTCGCATATACGATCTCGTTACTTACACCATATATACTCATCGATCAAGTCATGGTTCCTTTTTTTTCCCCTGCAGAAAACATTGATCCGGCCTCCTTGACCGATATGGCAATAAGACACTCGTCGATGGCACGGGAAGGGACTATCGACTTCAAGTCGTATCAAAAAATACAAGAATTATCCTATTCAACTGCTACTAGGTCGACACGAATATCATAAAGCAAATTCCAGTAGTTCTTGTCTGCCATTCGCAGAGCCGCCGCCCAGGTACATCGGCCAACACCCTATCATCGAATGATCAAACTAACCCGATGTAGGGGTGCGGGGGATGGGCTTCCGTTCTCAAGTTGGAATAGTCTCACTCTCCTTCTCCAAATCATATGGATGCCTTCCAAGTAGCAGCAGACAGGAACAATACATAGTCCGTTATGACAATGGTATTAACAGTTGATCTCTACATGACATACTTTTCCACGTGAAATAGAACTCACCATTTTTTCCTTGCTTCTTTACCATGTGTCTAAGGTCACATCAAATGCATCGAAAACAATGACTTTTGCTCGTTCAACCAAGTTTTCTTATAGACAGTAGAACAGTACTATGGTATAATGCTCAACGAAGGAGAACAGGCAATGGTTTTTTTTCCTCCAATGCTCAATGTTTTTGTCTTGCTTTCGGCCCTGATATCTAAGCCAGAAACCAAACGAATTCAGAAAGCGCAGCACCGTCACGATTAATGGGCCAAAACTTCCTCATTTCATCATCTCGGATCTTTCAAGACGGACAAGCCTCGAGATTAAACAAAAGGATTTGCCAGACGCTCTCATAGCGCACTATTATGTCTATTTATACTTGGCAGATTATATAAATGTGGGTGTAGTAAGTGTGCGGGGAATGGCAATCATTCTTTCCCCCATAGCTATCAGGGACCGAGGCATCTTTTATGCAGCCATCCCAGAATTTCGGCAGCTTACCCCACAAAGATATCTTGCCTCTTCTGGACTATAACCAGGTTTCTCACTGGTTCATCCCACGTGCGATGGTTTGGACAGTAACCGTTTGATGGGTCATCGGAGCTCTGAAGAATGTCGGTGCCTCGGTTTGAAAGTACTTATCAGAGTGAGTATTATAGCATTGGTCAATTTGTATAAACCGACTGCATCATGTCGATGAGTTTCATGGGTCACTGGCTCTCAGTTGTTTGAATTAGTTGTCTCAAATCATTTGGTATCTGCATCAAAGTAAAAAGACAAACATCATGACATGTCCCATGCGCTTCGACCGCGACCGCGAGGTCCAAGTCCCCTTTGAGAAGCCACACATTTTCGAAACCATTGCCGAGCCGCATGAGCTCAAGAACTACGTCGACGACGCCATCTACCTGACGGGCGGGCAGTTTGCCATTCTGTGCCAGTTTGCACACCCGGGCCTCGCCGAGGGCTCCTACAAGCACTCCAACTTTGCCTACCGCATCCTGAACCGCCTGCAGACGACGGCGCGCTTCTTGAATGCCGCCGTCTACGGCACGCAGCAGGAGAAGGAGGCCATTTTCAGTGTCATTCACAGTGCACATTGTAAGTGCCACAATCTCGGACTTGATTAAATGATCCCATGAAGAAGCTTACCAATAACGCCCACCTTAATGTAGCCGACGTCAAGGGAGAAACCTACTACGCCGACGACCCCGAACTCCACAAGTGGACAGCCGCCACCCTCTTTGTCTCGCTGGTCGTCGTCCACGAGGCCTTTTTCGGCAAGCTCTCGCGCGAGAAGCAAGAGGCCCTGTACAAGGAGAGCGCCGTGTACGGCACCTCGCTGCGGATGCCGCCCGAAATGTGGCCCGCCACCCTCGACGCCTTTTGGGAGTACTGGCACCACATGATTGCGACGCTCGAGGTGACGGACTGGGCCCGGAACCTTGCGGGCGACTTGCTGCACCCCAAGAAACTACCGCTCTGGCTGAAGCCGCAGGCGCCCGTGGCGCGCCTCTTGACTATCCACTGGATGCCAGAGAGACTCCAGAGAGAGTACGGCCTCACTGTTACGCCGCTCAACAAGGCAATGTATCACTTTGTCGTAGGTTACACAGCGCTGGTATACCCCCATCTCCCAAAAAGCCTCAAACAATTGCCGAGCAAAATGTACATGAAGGATATGAAGAAGGCTGTGAAGCGTATCGAAGAGACGGGGACTTGGTACAAGGCGGCTCAAGCTTGAAGATGGTAATCTGTCAAAGTCTACGTGTATGATTTCTAGTAATTCTGTTATAATCTACTGTCATTTCCTAATGCAATACAGCTTGACTAAGTCAACTCAAGAGACTTGTCAAGTCGTTTAATGGTAGTGAAAATCTCACGTGACAGATGAGGTAGTAAAGGGGCATTTGCAGTTCAATTCTTGTCTATCTAAACCGCTCCTTTGTATTACACAAACTGGCCAATCTTGCGAGGGGCGGGATCAATGCCTTAAAGGTACATTACAGGCTTCAAAAGCAAGACAAAAGGCACCTTTCAAGCTTTCCGTGGGATCGTCTTATCAATATCCTTTTGATCCCTGTCGTGATATCAGCCCCTGCGGCGCCGCTCGTCACGACCTCGAGGTGGGGATCGTGAGCGTCGGCGCTCATTGGCGACTCGGAGCGGAGATCGAGAGCGCGTACGCTCACCAACAGACTCGTTGGCGGCCCTGGCTCCCCAGGCAAAGCCTTCGAGAAAGGCACGGGAAGCGGTAGGGTCTGCCATGATCTCGCTTCTCATGCTGTCCTGACGGCCGAAGATGCGTCGGATCTTGGCCAGCAACAGGGCCGCTTCGAGTTCTTCCTCCTCTCGAAGCTGGTGAGATCTTTTCTCGTTTTCTCGTCGGCGGTCTTCTCGGTGGCGGTCTTCCTGGTGGCTTGAATCAGAGCTAAAGCCTCGGCTCGTGGTCGTCGAGCTTTCGATAGGGACATGGTCTTCTAGGTACAGGAGAGCCATCTTTGCGGCTTCTTGCTTCGCTTGTCTAGCATCGGTCCAAGTTCGCTTATCGATAATTCTCATACCCTTGATCTCGACCACGCATGAGAATCTTCCATCGTGGGTCATGAACTCTCGGAAGACAGGGTTGAACTTTCTGCGCTGACACTCGGCACTCAGCACGGCGCAGGGCGATGGAACTATGACTTCATGACGTCCTCTGGAACGCCCATCCTCCCCTTGAGCGCGCGGATGGTCCTCGCGCTTGGGGACGATGGATCCCAGAACCTGAGAGGCTGGTCGATGAGGAATGGCAGCGGTATTAATGACGCGAGACGTGCGATTCGAGCCAGCTGCTATGATTGAGCGTGAGTGAGTAAGTTCTGAGAATTGAGGGTTGTTTTGGGTCAATCACTTACTTTGGACAGGTCCAGCGGAGCGCTGTCCATGAATCTCAGCCCGTACAGGCTTGTTCATGGCATCAATCTTGGTCTGGGCTTGAGTTGCAATGCCCTGTAGCATCTGGCGGAAACGGGCTTGGCCAGTGTTATCCTGGCCTCCGGGTTCCATTCTGGTGGATGAAAGATCAGTGGTACTGGAGGCAGGGGGCTTGGCTGGTAGTCCAGCGACGGGCTGCTGTTGTTGCGCAGGACTCGAGTTTCCTCCTAAAGGCAGGTCGTCAGCTAATGTGGAAGGCAGAAGTTGTTGGACTGAAATGGATGAAAGCCCCTCAACTCATGCGCGAAGATGTAAGACAGCTCAGTTTCCTCTGCTCTGAGAAGATGCAATGACGGAGCTCCCTTTTCTTCTTTTCTTTTTGCTTACCTCCAGGGGAGCATTCTTGCTGCTCCTCCAATTCGCGGTCCAACATATCCATGACAGCCATGTTGTGAATTTGCCAATAATAATAATGGCAAGTCCGTGTTTTGATTTAGGAGCGATGGCCCATGAGATGACGACTGCGTACCTAGGCAGTTAAGTCCAATGATCCCTCTTGTTTGCGTGACGACAGTGCCTGTAAAACAAATACGTGCAGCGACCTACTCCTAGTTTCTTTTAGTGGATGCTTGTTGAGTTTTCAACAATGTAGTGAGCCTGTTGTCGCCAGTGAAGCAGCCAAAACACGACAAGACGACTGGTGCTCATGTCGTGGACAGGTAACCAATAAACAGGCAGTCTTTCAAACGCTGAAGTAACAAAAGTCTATTAAGCGGACCTTTTTGCAACAGCAAATGAACCGAGCTCCTGCATTAGTTTTATGCAACGTTACAGAAACTACGACCCGATCAATAAGAGAAACAATGATGGGAGCATGCGAATGAGAAGTATGGAGGAGAAAGGGAAAGCAGTAGCAACCAGCCAAGGGCAGGCAACCATTCACTGGCCGGTACTCTCCAAGACAGGTCGACTGTAACATGGCCTATACTTCTATATCTCGGCGTTGATTACTGGCTTCAGATTAGTAATATATTGGCAGCAAAACACCCAGAATCAATTGCAGTAGGCACAATCCATGGTTCGCTTGGAGTTAGTTTGATATGACTAAATAGACTATTGTTGCCGGATAGATCAGGTAAATGAAATAAATTTGGAGGGTAAAAATGATAAATTACGTGCATTATATCAACTCTACATTACAAATCACCAGTTGAATAAGAATTTTACATTTTGCTTGGCATTCTCATACCACCATCGAGCCTCAGTACCGTTCCGTTCAACATGACATTCTCAATCGCGTGCTTCGCTAGTCCGGCGAATTCTTCCGGCTGCCCTTCCCTCCTTGGAAACTCCATGGATTTCTCTAGACTGGCACGGACCTTGTCAGACATCATGCTGGTCATCCTGCTGGCAAACAAACTTGGTGCAATCGTAACGACTCTGATGCCGTACCGGGCCAAATCTCGGGTCATGGGTAGAGTCATTGCCGTGACAGCTCCCTTGGAGGCCGAGTAAGAGACTTGTCCCTTTTGCCCGTCGAAGGCGGCAGAAGACGCCACCATGATGACGATACCGCGCTCGCCGTCGGGCACAGATGGCTGCGTCTTGGCAATGTGTACGATGGCTTGCCGTACCAGATCAATAGTGCCACGGAGGTTGACATTCATGACAAAGTCAAAGTCATCCAGACTCAAAGCGTCTCCATTCCGGTCAAGCATCTGCAAACTTGTTAGAAGGACTGTCTCATGAACGACAATATCACTGCATCCCCGATGCTTGAGTTGATAACAAGTTACGTACAGTAGCTGGAGTGCTGACCCCGGCAGCCGGAATGACACCACCCAAGGGCTTGCCCGTCTCCTTGATCCAGGCAACGGTGCCATCAACAGCAGCCTTGATGCTGTCCGTTTCCAAGACGTTGCAAACGAAGAATTTGGTCTGCGGGCCCAGCTTCGAGACAATGGCCGCGCCGTTCTCATCGTTCATGTCGAGAACTGCAACATAGCCACCGGCTGCAACCAAGGTCTCTACACATGCTTGGCCGAGACCAGAGGCACTATACGATCGTCAGTGATTGTTGACAAGGAATCCCATCATAAGCCAGCCAGTGTTTGAAGTCGTATAACGTGGCTATGGTCTCAGCGGGACAAAGAGTGGATTTGCCAGCATGTGAACGTAAATGGTGGATCGCGGTTTTATGCCGAGTCCAGGATTGGGAAGATTTACCCGCCAGAGATGATGAATGTTCTCCCTTCTATTTTCATCTTGACCAAAGTATCAGTTGACAATTCATCAAAGTACTCAAAATAGAATATGATGCATCGGTGAATCAAAGGGACATATTCTTGTCAAAAACAGGCAATCTTATGACCTCTTGTAGACAATGCTAGGCCGGTAATTCCCCCAGTTCGGCGCCGGTAAGCACGAGCCAGAACCCACCCGCTGCCTCGGCCCCCCATTACGACACAAATCAGTGTGCACTGAACGGCTGACGGGAACAAGGACGTCCAAAGTCCACTAAACTCATAGCGGGTTTTGTGTTAGGTAAACCTGCTAACCATGGCTGCAAGTCTGGATGCTCCTAACACTTGACGGGCCGTCCAATCCCAGCAGTGATCCATTGCTGTTGTGTCGTCACAATCTCACTGCTGATAAGGATTCCCCAGCCTTAGGAGCTGCCGCTTGAAACAACATGAGATTCGGCATCTCGTCGCAGCAAGGATTATTACTTGTTGGAAATCCGCACGTCTCCTGAAGCCGCATCGCGCACAAAAAAGCAACGACCATTTCTTTGATGATAAACACATTTCTCGTCGCCAAGCTACTTGTTCGCATGAGCTCTGCCTCTTCTTCTCGTGCTCTACATTCGACAACAACGGCCGCAACACTAAACACCACACCGCTCGCACCGAAACACATGCGACCCACTTCACCGTGAACGTCCGATCTTGCGGGACAGCAAGACATTCAACATCGGAGACACGACGACATAATATACACATCATGACGAGGCCACGGGGCTTATCCGCCGCGAGCGAGGAGAGCACCGGCACGGCTGGCGAACAAGTAGGCATCACTCGAGGCAGTAGCGGGCGGAGCGCCGGAACACAGGAAAGATACCGAATGCTGACGATAGTCTTGTGAGCAGGAGCTTGGAAGCATGTATGATTACCTCGCCAAGATCGTATTGCTCGGACCCAGCGGAACGGGAAAGTGAGTCTATCATGTTCTCCCAAGACTGTTCCTTATGGCGCCCGCCATCCTTCCACCAGTCTTGCAACTCCACAACTTGCATTTTGTAACGGCCTCTTTAACTGACATCGGTCGTCTCCGTTTCTAGATCCTGTCTCCTCCACCGTTTCGTCAAGTCCGAGTGGCGCATTCTCTCGTCGCAAACCATAGGAGTCGAGTTCGCCAGCAAGATCATCAAGGTCGGCACGGGTGCAAGGCGGAAGCGCATCAAGCTTCAACTCTGGGACACGGCCGGCACGGAGCGCTTTCGGTCCGTCTCGCGATCCTACTACCGCGGCGCCGCCGGCGCCGTCCTGGTCTACGATCTTACCAACCACAGCACGTTCCGGGCGCTGCAGCCGTTCCTCAATGACGCCAACGCCCTCGCGAGCCCCAACCTCAGCACTATTCTCGTCGGCAACAAGCTCGACCTCAGCGGCGACGAAGACAGTCTGATTGACTTTGGGCCCCCGCCCACGCCCGGTGGTAGCATGAGCAGCGCAACAGGTCCGTACGGCACGAGTTTCCAGAGCACGGCGACGAATCCAGGACTCGGTGCAATGCAACGAGCGACGGAGGCGCCCGAGGGTCGTGAGGTCAGCAGTGCAGATGCGACTCGCTGGGCGAGTCGTGTCAACGTACCAGTGGCCATGGAGGTGTCGGCGTTTACCGGAGAGGGTGTCGACGAGGTGTTTGCAAGACTGGCGAGGACGATCCTCACCAAAATTGAGCTGGGAGAGATAGATCCGGACGACCCGATGAGCGGTATCCAGTACGGCGACGGCGGCATGTGGACAGCGGGCGCCAGCGACGGCGGCAGTATCAAGAGCGGTCTCACTGTTGACGATACAGACTATGGAGGCGTCAGAAGGAGAAAGAAGGGTAAGGGCAGGGGCACCGTGGCATTAAGAGAGTGGGAAGAGGTCTTCTCGCTGGGCGGTCGGAGGCGCGGTTGCTGTTAAGGGTATGGCGAGGCGGGCCTTTTCTTTCTTTCTTTTTTGCACCCTCTTTTCGAACTTGTTTCCCAAGACGCCACAGGCCTGGATGGCTTGTGACAAACTCACGATGAGTGTACTGGACGACTATATGATGATACCTACCTTTGTGTTTATGTCGAATAGCGACAATGCCTAGACTGCAATGATTCAAGAATGACTCTCTGTTAGAGGGAGCCTGATAGACTAATAGGGGTCTCTGCCCTGTTGAAACAAATAACGATACTACAACGATTCCATGATACCTGGTCCTTCGCCTTTTTTTTCGGCCGTTTAAATTACAAGAGTAAAGAGAAAGAATGTAGCGTCACGACGCGTTTTACCCATCATTGCAACGAAAGAATGGTCTTCCCCTGCTCTGGCTGAGAACAAGTCTTTGAAATGAGTAACAGCTTGTCCTACAGCCAGGATGTCCCCAAGTATGTATCAAGAAATATCTCGACTCACCTTCATCTCCTCCCATCGATGAGACTGACTTTACTGCTCTCTTGAGTTTGGAATACGCCAGGGTTTGATTGGACTCTGTCATCGTGCCATGCGCATTGCTGACAAGTTCTTGATCTGCTTTGAGAGGAATATCTTCAAGGACAACATGCAAATGGTCAGAATAGCTTAGCGGTGAGAGCATCGGATTAGTACAGGGGTTCCTGGGTAGAGTCGTCTAATCTAACGGTCGCGAGGTCGATTCGCGTCTCAGTGTTTGTTTGCTTATTTTTCTTTTTCCGTCTCTCTTTCAAAGAATGAAACCCCATCCTGCGCTGTCCTTGCTCTAGAAGCAAGCAAGAATGACACGTACATGAGAGATGACAGTTGGGCGCGAGAACCTCAATAGTTTCGCGTAACAGAGCGTCTTGGCATCCAGACTATCTTGAGATGTTGCATATCTGGTGATTACCTTTCCAGGACGTATCAAACAAAGATCTACGCCACTGTCATGAGATATGTGAAAATATATTGCCGTGATGAAATAATTCATATCTGCGTATCGTCGTGTTGACCCGTTTCTGTCTTGTCCTTGGCAAGTAACTCAGTACTACACATGATTTCTTCCATTTTTGGCGTTCGAATGATCTTCGATTGATCCAATTGACTTTGACCGTCATTTCATTCACTTTCCCACTGGCCTTTTATTTGGGAAGCTAAGTGTCAGATGGTGGATTATGGTTCCTATATACTGGGGTGTGCTTGAGCACACGGATTAACCCTATGGTGTTTAGATAGATATACGGGATCTTCCGGGGATTAGCCGGGGCCACCTAAATAAGCGTATATTTTATTAAAATTAAAAGGCGCAAAATATAAATTAATATATTATATAATTAATATTTATATTAAATTAGTTTAAATTTTAATAGGAAAGTATTATTTTAATTAATAATTAAGAGTTTTAATGCTTCCGCCGAAGCTATAAAAATAATAATTACGAAAAAAGCCGGAATCGGCTTAACGGCATTATTAAAAATAACCTCCGATTAAAATAATTAAAAATATGCGTTTTAAATTTAGGTATAAATTACCGGATTAATTAATTACTTTAAAAATAAAATAACTTTAATTAAAACCTTAATTGAACCGGATATAAAAAAAACTAAATATATAAAAACCGCGATAGCAACCTTTAAAGCTATAAACGAAAGCGACGATCTAAATATTTAAAATAAAAAAAACAAAAAATAAATAATAACGGATTTTACTAAAAAAAATCAAAAATCGTTTAACTTCGATTATAATTATTATAAAATAAAAAAGGCTATATATATTAAGCAATATACGGCGATTAAAAAAATTATAAAATAAATAATTATTATAATTTTTTTAAATTTTTTTTTACGTATTATTTAATTAATAAGCCTTTATATAAATAATACGAAAATTTAAAAGCTCGCTATAATAAATTAGCTATAAATAATAAAAAAAAAGCAAAAAAATAATATTTAAAAGCTTTTAAGCCTCCGAAAATATTAAAAAAAGCTGCTAATTAAGTTAATAAATAAAAAATAATTATAGCGAAAGCCTAAATAAAGCAAATAATTAAAATATAAAATAATTCGGTTTAAGCTATAAATTTTTTAAATATAATTATTTTAATTATATTATAATAAGCCGTTTTTTATTAAATTTATAAAAAATAAAATATTTTAAATAAAAATTTAAAATATCGGATAATAAATAATAACTTCCGTAAAAATTTAAGCATTTAATAGCCGATTAAGCTAAAAATTAGGAAAGGCGCTTTCGCAATTTACGCTAATAAAATTAAAAAATAGCCTTAAAACGGATAAAATAAAAACGCTTACCTTATTAAAAATTAAATGCCTTCCCGATTAAATACGGCTAATTTATATAAAAAAAATAAACGAATTACCTATAATAAAAGGCAAAAAAATACTAAATATTTTATTTATTATTTTTTTACGCTTTTAATTTATATTTTTATATATTTTTAAAAAAAAGCCTATTTAGGTTTCGTTTTTAAAAATAAAATATAAATATAAATAAATAAAGCTTTTAAAAAAGACCCTAATTTATAAAAATAAATTCGCAATATAAAAAGGATTAAAATTAGCCGAATTAATATATTATAAATAATTAAAAAAAATCGCTTTTAATTAATATAAATTAATAAAACGGACGATTAATAATAAATGTATAAAATAATTTTGCAATATTTATAAAAAATTACCTTTTACACTATTTAGTTATTTTAAATTTAGCGATAACGATTTTAATTATAAATATAAAAAAAGGCTTATTAATTATAGGCAAGCTTTTAATTACGATTTTATTTAATTAAGCAACCGGAAATTACCTATTTATGGATACGGTATAATAATTATATAACTCGGATTTAAAATATTATTATTAAATAATATAGCTTATTATTTTAGGCTATTAATTATATTAATATTATTTTGTTAATTATAAAGATAAAGATATTATTAAAATAATAAAAACGACTTTATAATATTATATAAAAAAATAGATTTTTAATTAATATATTTTAAAACCGATACGGATAATACGTTTTCGAATATAAATTTTACGAATTACCTTTAGCGTTATTTGCTATTTACTAAAAAAAATATATAATATAAATAAAAAGGCTATTATTAATTAGGGAAATTATATAATAATATTATAAAATAAGATATTTAGGCCCGGTAATTTTCGAATATTTTATTTATTTATTTTAAAAGGTAAAAATTAAAAAATTAATTATAATAAAATATAAAGCCTACGTATTTATAAAAATTACGCGCTAATTACGGCAAGCGCTACGGCTAATTAACGAAAATTATAACGAATAATTAGCTATAAATTTTTATAATTATATTAAAAAAATCGAAAATTATATATTTTAAATACTAATTATTTATTAGCAAATAAGATATATATAGGATTATTATTTTACGGAAAAAATTACGGTTATATTAATTAACGCTTTCCGATCGTTTTTAAGCATAATAAAAACCTAATATAATATTAAAATTAAAATTATTAAATGCGATAACGAAATTATAAAAATTAAATAAATAATAAAAAAATATTTCGAAAATAAATATATTAAATTCGAGCCTTTAGCATTATATATATAAGCCTAAAATAAAATTATTAAACGCTTAAAGGGTATAATTAAAAAAAAACGGGTAATACGCATTAGCGCAAAACTCTTTTATTAACTTTAGCCCGAAATCGGTAAAACCGCGGTATATTTATATAATCGCACGCCGAATTATAATTTCCGATAACGTATATTATATATAAAATTTTATAAAATAGTTATAAAAGCAAAAAAAATTCTAAATCTAAGCTATAAGCCTAATTAAACTTATTTTAAAGTATTCGGATATAAAGCGTATATAATAACGCTAACGGTATAATAAAAATTCGGCCGTTTATAGCGATTAGCACCTAAAGCATAAATAAAATATTTAATCGGATATAAGTTATTTAATATTTATAAAATTTAAATTCTTAATTAAAATAAATTAATTATATAACGGGACATTCACTTTATATACTTATAATTCTTAAAAAAATCTTTAAATTAAACTAATCAAGCTTTATAAAAGCTCCTAAATAAATATATAAATACGACCTACCCTCTATTTCATTTATATAAAATTAAACTACTTTTAATTACTTATTTATGCTTATATACCGCTTTTATTAAATAATATCGAAACCCTAAATTATAAGCTTTTTTAATTATTATAATTATAAGCCCGGTATATACGTAGCTAAATTATTATTAAATTTTCCGTATATTTATATTATTTAATAAGATATTAACGGAATTTAATTTTTAAAATCTAATTTTTAAAATTCCGATTAATATTTTAAATTCGATTTTCAAAATTAAAATACCAAAAACCTTATTTTTTTATAAAAAATATTATTTTACGCAAGCTTCGATACCTAAAGCTATACGGTTAAAATTAAGCTTATTTACTAAAAAAATTAAATAGCTTAATTTTTATAATACCGGTTTTTTTCGGAATAAAATACTATTTAAAATTATATTAATCTTAAATGAACGAAACTATAGCTATAAGCTAAATAGCCCTTTTTAATAAAAATTTATAAATCTAAGCTTTAATATTAATTCGAAAACGACCTAATTTAGCAAATTTCCGATTAAAATAAAAAAAATCTAAATACTAAAAGAAATAAACCTATTTTTTCCGAGCTCCTTCGCTAAAAAAAACTTTTTAAAAAATATTTTTAAAAATTTAAAACCTAAGCGTTTAACCTCGAAAAAAATTCGTTATTTAACGGTATATTAATAAATTTAAAAAATAAATGCAAAATTTTATAAATACTAAATTTTAAACTATTATATTTATAAAAGCTTTAAATTAAAATAACTATATTATTCGGAATTTTTACCGTATACTCTAAAATTTAATAGCCCTAACCGAAAAAAATCTCTTAAAGCAGGTTTTTAAAAAATATAAAAACGTATT